AAAAAATAAATAAGGAGGCAGAAAGTACTTCACAAATCAATCAAATCCCTTATTTTAAGCCATATAATGTTGTGCCGCTGTGTTGCTCGTTGATTTAGTATAACTAGAATCCGTGTTATAGTCCTATAATGTTAATATATTATTAGAAGCAAAAATTCTATAGAGTCATCGGATTATTTTCTTATGGAGCCATCCATTATTTAATATAGTGACACCTGTCTAAATTGTATTTACTGTAGGACACATGTCAATGCACTATTGGTGATTAAGTATAGATTGCTCCATAAGCCGAGTCATCCGATGGCTCCATAACAAAACTGTTATTAGAAGATGCTACAATCTCATTACAGAACCATTCCGTCGATTCTACAATTCTGTTACGTAATCATTTTGTCAGGGTTTGTAACCGTTAGATCATTATATAACCGTCGAGATAATTGATCTAAGGATAACAAACTCAACGGAATGGTTATGTAACGAAACCGTGACATTTTTCTATATTATTTTTAATAGTGGTACGACATTTTTTTAAACATGACATTTTTCTATATTATTATTAACAAACACGACATTTTCCTGTGTCCCTCATCTAAATTCGAGGGGATACGACATTTTTTTAACAAGTTGGAGATTAAAAAGATTTTCCAACCCTTGAACATAATGGCATTCTCTTTATTCTATAATGTTGATCCTTTTATGCTCTTTAATAGTATAAATATGGATTTTATGTTAAAAAAAGTTGTCTCACTAATGATTATGTTGTCTTAAAGTAGCACTCGTGGGAATAGATAGATTTCCATGCAACTTTGTCATCTGAAAATGGAGAGAAATTTTAAGGGCTTGATCGTTTATGAAATAATTTGTTCAAAATTAATTATTTTAACTAATTGTAGTTAATTTTGAAAAAGGTGGTATAGTTAGTTGTTAGTGAAATTTTAAGAATATATTAAAATAATATTTAAAATAAAATGATTAAAATTAATTTGATGTAAAATTAAGAAATAAATGATTGGAAATAATAGGTAGTTAAAATTATGTCAGTGGATGAATAGTTGAATTAAAGTTGATGTGATGTATAAAAATGATTGGTTTGTAATATTTAATTATATGAATAATATTAAAGATAGTGAGGTTGAGTTAAAGTTGAGTTAGATTTTGAGTTGAAATAAAAGTGAGTAAATTATTTGGTATACAATCAAACCCTAAGAATGTTGTTATGATTTAAAATAGGAAAAATTCTACACTAAGACTTGACTTTTTGTTACTGTGTCGTAATAAGGTTTGGATTTTCAACTTTTTTATTTGAGAGTTTCAATTTAAAGTTATTCTCAATATAAGGTCTACTTTTACGTTCTACTTTTCAATTTAAGACTCCAAATCAATTTGTATTTTGATATAATTAAGTAAACCACAATACTTTTAAAATATTTTTTAAATAAATAGAAATATATTTAGTAAAATTACTTTAATACAAAAATTAATTAATTTAAGCTAAATTTATTTTGCATAAATGTAACTAATTTGGATTAATTTTATTCCGAAGCTAGTTTTACAAATATAATTAATGTTTGTATTATAGTATTAAGTTTATATATCTTAAAAGTAAGTTAAGATTTAATTTTTAACTTTTAAAATAAATTTCATGAAGCTTTTGCATAGAGGTAAATTATAAAAAATATTTTATTAGGTAATTTTACTAAAGATATGTAAAAAGAAAAAAGGAAAAAAAGAAAAATTGACTAAGGATATTTAATATTTATCATTATAAGTATTTTAATAACAATTTTTTTTTTTAAAAAAAAAAGTATTAGGGTTTTCATAATTATATCAAAATACAAAGTGATTTGGAGACTTAAATTGAAAAGTATAATGTAAAATTATATCTTACATTAAGAATAACTTAAAATTGAAATTCTTAAATGATGAAAAGGTTGAAAAGTCAAGCCTTAATGTGACACAATAACACAAAGTCAAGCCTTATAGTAGAATTTTCCCTTTAAAATAATAGTTTTTTATTCAAATCACTCTTATAGATAATTTCTGTTGAACCTAAATAGCAGACTCACATGCTTTAATATCATATATGTCTAATTTTTATTTTTTTTTATTTGGCTTGAATAAATTTTAATTTACTTTCAATTTAAAAATAATTAGGTTTTGGATAGTCATACTTGATATTTATCGTCCTTGTTAAGAGGATTAATATTACATTTATTATTCTTGACATGATTTATAAGGCATAAATTTTTTTCCTTAATCTTTCTTTTTTCCTCATCTTTCTTTTAAAATGAAAAAATACTAACTTAAATTATAAGTAGATTTAAAGTTTTTTTTTTTCAAAACGATAGAGATAATATAAAAATAAAAACTGCACAAAGTGCGAAAAGAAGAAGCCAAAAGCTGAAAGTACAACCAAAGGCTGAAAAGACTGGGAGGCAGATCCAAAGATCGCCTAAAGCCTAACCTAGCAACGCTAGAATAACAAACTCACAACTACACAAAATCAACTACACAAACAGAAACGAAAACTACTAAAAAGAACCCAACAGGATAATACCTGAGTGTTGGATCCCAACAGGATAGTAAGTTGACACTCGGGCACACAGAGGCCAATGGCCCAAACCAAAGAACACAGATCTAAACAACACAAACACGGACACAAAACGAATGCTAAACAATAGAAACATTAAAAACCACATTCAAACCCTTCCCCAACAAACAAACAGGTCCAAACCAGCAGAGAAGCAATCAATCCACGGAAGATCCCTAGGCCCAGGAACCACTACCAAAACTGCGAAGCTGCCTATATAGAAGCCGACCCCGAGCCCCGAACCTAACCTCGATTCGATTCGCCTCCAACCAAGAGAACAATGAGACCAGCTCCCCACTCCAACACAACCCGATCTCGTCTAACAACCACTAGTCGAGCTCAAAAGCGCCGGACCCCACCCCGTCCCCAACACTAGAGAATCGGGGAGTATGGAGCGGCCCGATCCCACAACTCCGGCTGCCCCAACGAAGGATGTCACAGCCGCCAGAGTCCCGCCAGCGACCTGAGCCCAAAAGCACCACCGGAAGCCCCACCATGAACAACAAAGCCGACTGAGAATACCTCCAAATCACTGACCAGATGAAGATCGATAGGCTTTCCCACCCCAAATCGAAGACCCGCCAGCTACCAAGGAGAAGCCACCAGTCGCAGACCGAGGGTGCGCTACCACACAGCGTAAATACGCCGACGACCGAGGATGGACCACCAAACGCGACACTTGGAGAGACATCAGAGACTCGCGAAGATAGGGATGGGCCGAGCGGTCAAAAGCAACCACTGGCCAGAGCCTCGTCGTCGTCGAGGAATGCAATTCAACAGAGAATCGGGGAGAGACCGACGAAAATTGGGGCTAGGTTATCGAGAGGGAGAGAGATGGTTTTTTGAGAGAGAGAGAAAGAGAGAGATGGTATTAGTTGAAATAGAAATCGATTTAAAACTTAATATTTTTTTTATTTATTAACAGCTTTTTTATACATAATATATTCAATTTAATCATGTCTTGATGAGCTTCAATTCGACACCTACATTGTATATACAAAATAAATAAATATATAAATTTATCTTTATAATCAAGATTAAACTACCTATTAACATTAATTAAAGAAATAGTATTACTTAATCAATTTAACGACAAAGTTGTTAGATGATATAAATTAAAAAGTATCTATCATTATAAAATTGCAATAATGGATTTACTTTAAAGAGATCTGAAAATTAAAATTTTACTACAATTAGTAACTTTTTTTTTAAATTTCATGAAAAACTGACGATTGATTTGTAATTTGAATTTCAAATTCATTCACATTTAAAGGAAAATATCATAAGCAATTTTTTTGGATACATTTCATTTTATCTTGACTTACATATAATTGTATTCATAACAAACATTAAGTTTGCTTTTATTTTTAAATTAATTACATCGGTAAATAATGTTAATATAAATAAAATACTTATTATCATATAGAAAAAGAATATTACTTCAATAATTGTTATAAATAATAATGACATTATACGACAATAAATTTTTGAATAAAATAATATTTGAGTATTATGAGGAACCAAAATATGTTAAATCATTATTTCTCTGTATTAAAAAATAAATATATATGTGAAAATATTAGTTATATGAATATAAACGGGTCAGCGAGTTTATATATTATTAAAATAATTTTTTTTAAAAAAAATATTATAAGATACAAAATCCACATACTTCGCAGGGGATTCTCACTAGTTATCATATAACTAAATTCTTCGCCAGAGAATAGGTCCGAGATGCGTCGCTGCCATGCTGAGTACCAGTTGCGCCTCCTCATGGAGGAAGATTTTTGGAAGCAGAAGGCTGTTGTGCGCTGGGTGGCTGAGGGGGAGCGTAATACCAAGTTCTTCCAGGGATTCGTGAGGCAGAAGCGAGTCAAGTCATATATCCATAGTATCGAGGATAGTGGGTCTTATGTGATCTAGGAGTCCCAGATACGGGAGTCGGCTAGGTCTTACTTCCACTCTCTCTTTTTCTCTGAGCGGGACTTGCTCACGCACCCCGACCCGGCCCTTTTTTCGACCATCCCACAGTCGATCAACCTCGTCGACCTCTGTGACCTCCCGAGTAATGAGGAAGTCAGGGAGGCTGTGTTTGGGATTGATCCCAACAACGTCTCCGGACCAGATGGTTTTTCGTCCCTCTTCTTCCAGTCTTGCTGGGAGATTGTGGGAACTGACGTAGAGGAAGCTGTGAGGGATTTCGTCTCTGGCTACCAGATGCTAGAGTCTTTCACAGCAACCTCCATCATTTTGATCCCGAAGAGATCGGTACCTAGCTCTTGGTCCGACTATAGACCTATCAGCTTATGCAACGTGACTAACAAGATCATCTCTAGAATCCTCAACGGGCGCCTCGCCCCTCTCCTCCCACACCTTGTCTCTCCGAACCAGAGTGGATTCATCAAAGATCGAGTCATTAGTGATAATATCCTTTTGGCTCAAGAGATGATACACGATATCTCTCTTGCGAATCGAACACGGAGCCCGAACCTTGTGCTGAAGCTAGAC